CCATTTACTGCTGGATCACTTCAGCCTACTAGTATTATGTTTTGTTTTACCTCTACTGCTCTACTGGGTCTTGTTCCCAGACTGTCCACCTGTAAGGGACCAGTATCCTACGAAACAGAGGGTTGGCTCAAGTTACCAATAGCTTTACTTAGCAAGGGTGAGATTACAACCAACATTGACCAATATTTTCTACCTAACATCATCATCCTACTATCTGTAGCGCTCCCTCAATAGGGACAACATCGATCTCAATATTAAGGGAGAAGATCGAGTCAGTACCGACAATATACAATTGACCCTCTCTCCTCTATTCAAAAATCAACCATACTGCCTTTTCCGCCGTTTGGAGTGCTCTTTGTGAAGAGGTACTCAATTCTACTAGCAAGGGATTGAGGGAGCGAGCACTTGAATTACTAAGCTTTCATCGCCTGTATCTTCCACCAATATTGGGGAAAATATATACCCACCCTCACAAATCTCCGTTGTCCCCCCTGTATAGTACTATTTTTATAGCGTTATAAACTTGGTGATATGTAAAGGATACTCAGATACTTATATTTATATCCTGTTTAGTTCACCTGTCCAGTTCTTTACACAATAACGTTCTCAGGTCTAACATATCCTGTAATCCACTCCCCTTATTATTATTTCCCCCCCCCTGTAAAACACAGACAACACTGTGTATTTCTTATCTGGGATAATAATAAGTAACCTGTTACATCTGTAACACACTTACTCTAATTAGTATATATATGTTACTACTTCTGTGGCTAGCATTTTTCTAAATAGTGGAGTCTACAGTGGTAATGTCTATATCCAAGGTATAAACACAGCAGTCTTTTAATAAAGTTTATTATCTTATATTGGTTTTTACTTAGAAGGTATTTTTAGTGAAGCAACTTGGCTCCCCTAGTTTGGAGCTAATAACCTTCAATATTTAATTCTCATTCAAATATGACTAAAATTGTTGGTCGACAAGATCAACACTGTTCTGCATTCTCATTTCTCACTCTTTATATTACCTCGTTCTTTCTTTTATCTTGCCCTTCTTACCTTTATACACCACTTTCATGTACATGACACAATGACACTATGGAATCCAATATGCAGGACAGTAAAGAACAAATTGAGATGAGCAGAACAGTTATTGCTCCTGGTAGGACAGGTAGACTGTTTCACAAAATCTGGAAAGATAGTGTGAAAAATTTCTGAATTTTGCAGTCCGAATGGTCCCGTACACAGCCAGTTGTTTTTGCTCCTTTTATTCCGGGTCGTTAGTGAATAACCCTGTTAGAGTAACAGAAGAAGCCAAAAATAAAATTTGGCAGTGGAAGAGAGTGAGTAGGAAGTAGGATTGGGTGTTAATTTTGTCTAACCTTCTGCACTGTTAGGGCTGGTGAATTAGTAAATACAGCGGATGGTAGCAATTAACCCCTTAATACACTTGCCCTCCCTCTGGGCCAAAATTGGCTAGCAGACTCTTTCTTGAAAGCAGGAAATTAGACATTTCAGAATAACCACATTTTAAGGAATCAGTTTAGAGTTTGATGTACGTTCAACTTAATTCAGCCATTTTCCGTTTTTATTTTTGTTTTTTAGGAAATATTACTTTTATTCCAATTATATTTGAAAATGTGGGGTTAGCTCCAAAGTTGGAATTGATTTGCTTTAAAATTAATACTCAACTTGAATTTTAAGCAAAACTGAGATTAATAATTAGATTCAATGCTTTCTTACATATATTAAATGCATCGTAGGCAATAATAACTAAGTGGCCATACATAAATAGTCCACACAATAATGACAGACATATTATTAATATTTTATTTTGTGCAAAGACATCCATAACAAATAAATGTAAAAGCTACATATTGCAATATTTTCAAAATAATCAAATAACTATCGATCCCGTATATGTTACTTTCCAGGATATCTTCGCTCTCCTTAAAGGGTGTTATGGACGTAAATTAAGATTAGTAAAATGTCTATTTACTCTGCATAACTGTACTCAGTATTATTCAATGTTTACTGTGTTAACCTGGCTGCTAGAACAGCCCCTCTCCTCCAGTGGTGTCTCTAGGATTCAGTTTTAGGGGGGGCACATGGAGGGCCAGGGACAAAAGTAGGGGGGCACATTTAACATCGCCCTCGCCGCAGTTTGACCCCGCCCCTGTTGCATTTAAGCCCCGCCCGCGTGTAACAGGGCTAAAGTGTGCGGCAGCTCACACAGGTGATTCAGCGGTAAAGTGCACTCGCTGGCAGAGCCAAACTGGGAATCCCTGGGAATCCAAAGCAGCCCTGGAAAAAAAATGTATGTCATTCCAACAAGTCAATATATATATATATATATATATATAGTACAGTAAGCACACAAGCTCACTGACATGCGCAAATAGGCTTACTGACAGACAAAACTCTCTGACTCACACACAAGCTTACTACAGACAAACTCACGTGTATAAACAGAAGGCTCACTACAAAGAAGTTCAGGGACACACACATGCTCACTAAATAGAAGCTCACTGACACACACAAGCAGTACCATTTTAACAGAGTTAAGGGCCCCCAGGCAAAGCAATGCACTGGGGCCCTTCCTACACAACAACTCACAGGCATTATTGATAGACTGCTGAGTCCATACACACACAGACTGCTGAGTCCATACACACACACACACACAAACAGCTGAGTCCATACACACACACACACATACACACAGACAGACTGCTGAGTCCACACACACAGACTACTGAGTCCAGACACACACACAGACTGCTGAGTCCATACAGACACAGACTGCTGAGTCCATACACACACACACAGACTGTTGAGTCCATACACACACACAGACTGCTGAGCCCATACAAACACACAGACTGCTGAGCCCATACAAACAGACAGACGCTGAGTCATACACACACACACACACACACACAAACTGCTGAGTCCATACACACACACACACACATACACACACAGACTGCTGAGTCCATACACACATACACACAGACTGCTGAGTCCATACACACACACACACAAACTGCTGAGTCCATACGCACACACACATACACACACAGACTGCTGAGTCCATACATACATACATACACACAGACTGCTGAGTCCATATACACATACACACAGACTGCTGAGTCCATACACACAGACACAGACTTCTGAGTCCATACACATATACACACAGACTGCTGAGTCCATACACACACACAGACTGCTGCTGAGTCCATACACACACAGACTGCTGAGTCTATACACACACACACACACACAAACTGCTGAGTCCATACACACACACACACACACACACACAGACTGCTGAGTCCATACACACATACACAGACTAGAGTCCATACACACACACACACACAAACTGCTGAGTCCATACACACACACACAGACTGCTGAGTCCATACAAACATACACACAGACTGCGGAGTCCATACACACACACACACACACACACACGGACTGCTGAGTCCATACACACACACAGAGACTTCTGAGTCCACACACACACACAGACTGCTGAGTCGAGAATCCCATGATGACAGTGACATCACGCCCTGTAGGTTGTGCAATAGATAAGATACTTAACACTTGGACACTCCCCTGGGGGACCTGATGGAACAATGGGACACATATTGGATATTAGCCAATCACAGACAATACAAACAAAACACTCCCACAGTGACATCACAATCCCTCCTCTCTATCCTGGAGATGATTGGGAAGTAATCAAATTATCTCCCAGGACAGAGGCAAGACTCCATTAGCCACATGGTTACAAAAAGACATAAAATTACACAATGTTACAATTACTACATAAAATATATACATGCAGCATATCCCCAGATAGCTTAGATCTGAGCGCACATTATTACCTAATGGCGCTCAGATCACATACATACAGTTCAATCACCATGGAGCCAAAGTCTTTTCAATAGTCTTTTGTTACACAAATAGGCTCCATGGCATACCCAACTTTCTGCAGGGTAAAATACAGCTATCAGCACAGGGGCCATAGTCGGAAGGCAAGAGGCTAGCCAGTATTCCCTTCCAGGCACAAGTGGCTAAGGGCACTTCGTCACAACCTGAAACTTGTGTCTGGTGTGAATTACTTTTGGGAGCGTGCACGCATTTAATTCAATTTGGACAGGGGCAGATATACAAAACTATCAAATACTTGATTTGATCCAAGACAAGGGATACTGTTGTGCTAGGATTAGGAACCTGTATTCCTAGCACTATCCTTCCCTCTGC